GTGGTAAATGCCAAAAAAAAAAAAAAAAAAATAGAGCCTGGCATCTAATTAGGTGCTCAGTAAATAGTAGGTAAATAATTTATTTCTGGAACGTGGAGCCAAGTGCCAAATGATAAGAAATATTCTTCCTTCTCTTGTCTTCTCTATAGTACTATTCAGAACCTAGCCTAGTAGAAAGGTAGACAGCTAAACTTTGTGATATGAAGCATCACCATCCCACTTTGAAATTCATTAATTCTATTCTTTTTCCATACCATATTGTAACTTGTAAGAGCATGTATTTTCAGAGGAGGACCAGAAATGCAGGTCACACTGCAGGCCTGAATGAAAAAGCAACAACAGGCCTGCCATGACAATTACCTTTAAATTCAATCTGGAGAGAGCTATGGTTTTTTTTTTTTTTTGGCTCTAATGCCATAAACTAGGACAGAGATGTGTAGCAAAAAGCTCCCATGAAAGGTTGCACTTCACTTGCCTGTCCTCTAAGCTCTGTTTTAAATTGTTATTTGTTTGTCCCATCTCTCATGCAGTAAATGCCCAGACAACTTTTATTCTAAAACACAGGGTCAGAGAACATCAAGGAGCCCATTCTGACCAAGAGACTCTTTGTTGTATTATATGGAACAGGGAGACAGTAGGGTCTTCCTTGATGAAAGAGCAGGGCCAGGCTAAAAGCCAGGCTAGACTTGAACCTCTATATTAACTACAAAAGGAAAGGAGAGGAATAATTGAATTGAGCCACAGGGAAAAGTAGAAGAGGAAAAATCTGGCCTTGTAATCAGTGGGTTTGAACAATAAGTTCTCTGAGCTTCTTTATGCTTCATGTGATCTTACCCTTGGAACAAAATGATAATAACAATAGCTGCCATTTCAATACAAATTTTTAAATAATTTTTAAAATTTATTTATTTATTTTTGACTGTTCTGTGTCTTCATTGCTTTGTGTGGGCTTTAGCTGAGACAAGCAGGGGCTACTCTTCCCTGCGATGCTCAAACTTCTCATTGCAGTGGCTTCTCTTGCTGCAGAGCATAGGCTCCAGGCACACAGGCTTCAGTAGCGGCAGCTCTCAGGCTCTAGAGTGCAGGCTCAGCGGTTATGGCTCACGGGCTCTGAAGCTCAGGCTTGGTAGTTGTGGCAAACAGGATCACTTGCTCTGTGGCACGTGGAATATTCCTAGACCGGGAATTGAACCTGTGCCCCCTTGCACTGTTAGGCAGATTCTTATCCACTGCATCACCAGGGAAGTCCTGACATTTTTTGAGGGTTCACGTTAGCCAGGCATCATGCCCATGCAATAGTCCATTTCATTCTCGTAAGGACTCTGTTTGGTAGTTATTATCTGTAGTCTCATTCTGCTGCTGGGGAAATAAGGGCTCAGGGAAACTAAGTGACTTGCCAGAGGTCACCAGAGTCAGTAGTCAAACTCAGGTCCATCTGGTCTTAACTACTCTGCTCATCAATCCCCAGATTGGCTCTGATTCCCATCTTAAAGGCTGAGTCTCTGATGAAAGCCCTTTTCTTGGTCATGGAGCTAGTGAGAGATGGTATGGGCAGGTTTGTGGGTTCTAGACCCTAAGCTGCTGTGCAGCTATGCTCCATGTTCTTTTACTAAATATTTTCTGTGGAGAATTTTTTAAAATATTGAGAATGGTAGACAGATGCTATCATGCATGTCTAGTATAGAGCAGAAGCTGAATAAGTACCTGTTGAATTAACTGAATAATTAAAAAGGATATGGAGAGGAAACAGTTGGAAAAAGTGTGGTAACTAGGCTAAGAGTGGAAACTCCAGTGAAACATCTAGCAATGCATCATATAACCAGTGACATAAGATGAGATTTGACTGAGATTTGTTCTTGTTCTTTATGACTTGCTCACCAAGTCATTTAGTAAATCTTTTACCCTGGCATTCTATCCAAATGAATTTTTGGATTGCCTGTATAGCATTATGGTAGGATTTTACTATATTTTCTTTGACAACATTGACTTATATCATTAAAATCTCGCTGAGATCACAGGACTTCCCTGGCAGTCCAGTGGTTAAGGTTCAGGGGACATGGGTTCAATCCCTGCTCAGGGAACTAAGATCCTGCATGCTGCTCAGCACAGCCAAAAAAACAAACAAACAAACAAAAAAAAAACTCAGTGGAATCAAGTGCAAAACAAAAATATGATGGATTTGGCAGAAAAAGAATGGAGCATGGCAATTTAATCTTGGCAGATATATTTATAAGACCCTGATATATATATAAGGACCCTGATGCTGGGAAAGGTTGAGGGCATGAAGAGAAGGGAGTAACAGAGGGTGAGATGGTTGGATGGTATCACCAGCTCAATGGACTTGAGTTTGAGCAAACTTCAGGAGATAGTAAAAGACAGAGGAGCCTGGTATAGTGCAGTCCATGGGGTCTCAAAGTGTCGGACATGACTTAGTGACTGAACAGCAACAACAAATATTTATTTTGCATACTTTAAGGGAAGAAAACAAATTTCCCCACTGTTACTATATCAAAATATGGCAACAATTAATAAAGTATTATAAAGGATGCTTGAATATCATTTGGGATTTTTGTCAGCTAGATAACCACTTCCATTCCCTACATCTAGAATAAATAAAATAAAACTCAGTATCTTCTTAGGCACTTTGCAGCTCAATGGGGCTATTTTCAGAACTTAGGCCTCGCTTTTCAGAGATGATTTTTATTCTAGGGTTACCAAAGAAAGCTGTGCTAGCTGATTGAGCCACCCAGTGGACTTCAGCTCTCTTGTTAGTTCCTGGAACTTAAGAACAGTAAGGGCTCTCCAGACATTGTTGTTTTGTTTATTAATTTATTTTTCGTACTATGCCAGGCATTGCGCTGCCTCAGGAAATGATGGAGAAAGGAACTAGCCCGGAGCACTTCCTATCTAGTCAGCAGGAACTTTCAGGGGGATGTGAGACCTACCAGGTTGGGGGCAGTAAAGGAGGGTGGAACTCCTGGTCTGGAAGTGTGAGTGGGCAAGCCTTCCTGGAGGAAGGGCTGCTAAGCTGACATCTGAGAACAGGCAGGAGTTGGCTGGGTTGAGAGTGGGAAAAGGTCCCTCCAGACCAGCTAGAGAGATGCCCAAGAATGAGAGCCTGATGAAAGAAGTAACTGAAAATGTACATCAGTTAAGAAGGCTGGGTTTTAGCCTGAAGTTGACTTGGTGGGCAGGTGTTCATGACAAGGTTTCTTGGGTGCTTTCTATGTGGCAATCTCAGCTGTAAGTAGCTTCATGACATTGGCATCTATGGGGAGAATATCCCACAAGACCAGAGGCAGAGACTGCTGAACTCATGCCAGAATTGATAGGCGTCTGGATTAGGATTGTGGTTATGGAAAAGGGAAAATGGGATGGAGTTGACAGATGTACAAAAGATGAAATAGGCAGGAATTGGTGCTGAATTCACCTAGTATTGATATGGTATTGCCCCTTATTTCTTAGAAGGCTCATGGTCTGTGCATGGTCATAGCATGGAAGAGCAAAAATTGCAAATTTCCTTGAGCTGTCTTAGGGGAAGAGCATGACCGTAGCCAAGGGACACAGTCTCGTGTCCCTAGGAGGAGGGGAGTCAAGGCCTACAGATTTACTGGCAAGTTTTAGAAACAACTGACTTAAATGGAGAACCTATCCTATGCCAGATAATATACTATAGCATCTACGTAGCCTCATTTAATATTCCAGCTACTCAGAGAAGTAAGCAATACCTGCCGAAATCAGAGGTGGTTGCTGTTCTCTAGCTAAGTCATGTCCGACTCTTTGTGACCCCGTGGACTGCAGCATGCCAGGCTTCCCTGTCCTTTAATATCTCCTGGAGCTTGCTCAAGCTCATGTTCATTGAGTCAGTGATGCTATCTAACCATCTCATCCTCTGTCGTCCCCTTCTTCTCATGCCCTCAATTTTTCCCAGCATCAGAGTCTTTTCCAATGAGTTGGCTTTTTGCATCAGGTGGCCAAAGTATTGGAGCTTCAGCATCAGTCTTTCCAATGAATATTCAGGATTGATTTCCTTTAGGATTTATTGGTTTTATCTCCTTGCTGTCCAAGGGACTCTTAAGAGTCTTCTCCAGCACTACAGTTCAAAAACTCAGCCTTCTTTATGATCCAACTCTCACATTCATACATGACTACTGGAAAACCCATAGTTTTGACTAGATGGACCTTTTTTGGCAAAGTGATGTCTCTGCTTTTTTAACATGCTGCCTAGGTTTTTGTCATAGCTTTTCTTCCAAGGAGCAAGTGTCTTTTAATTTCATGGCTGCATTCACCATCCGCAGTGATTTTGAACCCCAAGAAAATAAAATATGTCATTGTTTCCATTGCTTCCCCATCTATTTGCCGTGAAGTGATGAGACCAGGTGCCATGATCTTAGTTTTTTGAATGCTGAGNCATTTTTTGGCACTGCCTTTCTTTGGAATTGGAATGAAAACTGACCTTTCCTAGTCCTCTGGCCACTGCTGAGTTTTCTAAATTTGCTGACATGCAGAGTGCAGCACTTTAACAGCATCATCTTTTAGGATTTGAAGTAGCTCAGCTGGAATTCCATCACCTTCACTAGCTTTGTTCATAGTAATGTGTCCTAAGACTCACTAGACTTTACACTCCAGGATGCCTGACTCTAGGTGAGTGATCACACCATTGTGCTTATCCAGGTCATTAAGATCTTTTTTGTATGTTTCTTTTGTGTATTCTTGCCACAGATCACAGGTAAAGAAACAGATTTAGGGTGGTTAAGGGAACTGTCCAAGGTGCACAGTTGATGTCAGAGGCAGGCCTCAGCTCCAGGCTGCTGACTTCAGAACAAAGCTCTTTAATCACGGAGCCTTGTCATGGTTCTCAAAGAGAATAAAGATAAAGTCCTGTTGGAATTCAGCTCTAAGCTCTGAAGGATTGCAACATTCACTCATCCATCCACTCAGGCACGCAGAAAAACCTTGAGCACCTGCTATTGGGTGACTGCGATGAGGGGTAACACATGGAGTCCACAGAGCATGACCTCAAGTGCCTGACTCTCTAGGATCCACGCCTGCTTCCTCCTCTTCAAGCTGTGTGCCCACTGGCATACAACTGAGCTTCTCAGGGTCTCTTTTTTCCATCTGTAATATAGGGATGGTACTACTTCCACTATCTCACGGGGGTATTGTGAGGATTAGACGAGTTGTTGATAGAACTCTTAGAACAGCGCCCAGGGAATTCCCTGTCTGTCCAGTGGTTAGGACTCTGCACCTCTATTGCCGAGAGCCTGGGTTCAGAACAGTGCTTGGCACCTTCTAGGAGTTCTACAGGTGTCCTCTGTTTGGCAATGAGAACAAGAAGTCCTTCCCTCACAGGCACAGACATAACATGTCAGATAGTGACAAGAGAGATGAAGGTCCAGTTGGGGAATGCATGGCCTGGTGACTGGGGCTGCAGTCTTAGAGAGGTCTTCTGGATTAATCTCTGATAAAGTGCCGTGACTGTTCTGTGCTCCTGGCAGGTTCCCCTCACTGGCATTTATGGGAAGCATTTTCCTTTAAAACTGACCCAGCCTTTGCAGGTTCCCAGGGCTGTGTTGACTTGCGTCTGAACAATGGATTGAAACTGCTGTTGTGATGTAACCCTGACCTGTCTCTTGCAGGAAGGGGAGCATCCCGAGGACAACTGTTTCCACTGCCGAGGGTCGGGCAGTGCCACCTGCTCTCTGTGCCACGGCAGCAAGTTCTCGATGCTGGCCAACAGATTTAAGGAGTCCTATCGGGCCCTGCGTTGCCCTGCCTGCAATGAGAATGGCCTGCAGCCTTGCCAGATCTGCAATCAATAGCCTGTGGGTTTCATAGGTCCACTTTGATGGCATCCTCCCTGAAGTGATTTCTGATAAACTGCTCCTCCTCCATCTCCTCCTCCCTCTCCCAGCAAGGAAGCCGTCGTGGCTGCAGCACTTCCACCACTGACACAACTCAGTTACTCGATCACACTTTGTGAGGCTGGTAACTTCTCCACGTGGGTCTAAGTGACAGAGGCATTTTTGAATTAGAGTCTGTTTTGCAGCTGTTCTAAAATGATCCTTGTAGAACCGTGCACATGTATCTCACTTGACTTAGCTCAGTTTTCTCCTTGCACAAGTGAACAAATAAATGTACAGTTCAGGCAGCAGTTTGAAGTCATTTTCCGGTTGGGAGTTATTTTGCAAAATTATGCAGTGAGAAAGGAATTTAAAAAAAAAAAAAGGCAAGTTTCTTAGGAACGGAATTCCTGAATTTCTTAGGAACTGAAATGCTTATAATGCATTTCAAATTGGTCAAATTGCATTTTTTAATTAGCATAAGAGGAAAGGGATGCCCAATGCTGAATGCACTAGCATGTCACTGAAAAAAAATAGGATGTACACGGTTCTTGCTGAAGACAGGCAAGCTGAGGAGGCCTTTTTTTTCAAAGTCCTGGGTCTCTTCCTTTGTGATGTGCTAGGGTAATATGCATGCAGGCAACAACCAGTGCTACTTCTTAGGACAAGATGAGATAAGATAATTCTGTGTGCCTCTGAACTACTGAGGTTATAAGCCAAGTCAAAACCATTTATGATAAATTTGGTGCTTAAGTGTGTGTATGTGTCTGTGTATGTGTGTGTGTGAAATGACTTCTTCCAGCCCCTAAATTATTACCAAATAAATGAATTTATTATAAGGCTAAGATATAGTCATGATCTCTTCATAAAAGACTATGAATACATTATAGGTATCTATTGGAAATTAAAAAAAACAACAACTAACCAAGGCTGTTTAGCAATTATGTTTCTACTGTCTATGAATACACAAACTAAGAATAATTTTTCCTCTTAAAGTTGGTTGTAAAGTTAGAAAAATAGTTTTGTTAATGAACTTTTGTAACTCTAACAGCCCCTCCCTTCCCCCTTGAGAAATCCATTATCTATTGAGGTGCATCACTTTTTATGGTAATTATTTTGATTTTCTTAACTTTTTCAAGATTTGTTTGTTATTCTCTATATTCAGCTGTTAAGATAATTCAGTCGTGGAGTGCTTTTCAGACAATATAAATACTTCTTATAAAAATGCCATTTGCATAGACATGGATGGTCCTATAAACTGTCATACAAAGTCAAGTAAGTCAGTAAAACAAATATTGTATAGTAACACATATATGTGAAATCTAGAAAAATGGTACAGATGAACCTGTTTGCAAAGCAAAAATAGAAACACAGACACAGAGAACAAATGTATGGACCCAGGTGAGGAGAGGAGGGATGGGATGAGTTGGGAGATTAACATTGACATATACACACTGTTGATGCTGTGCATAAACTGGATAGCAAATGGGAACCTACTGTACTGCTCAGGGAGCTCTCCTCAGCCCTCTGTGGTGGCCTGAAGGGGAAGGAAATCCAGAAGAGGGGATCTATATACGTATAGCTGATTCGCTTTGCTCTACAGCAGAAATCAATACAACATTGTAAAGTAACCATACTCCAATAAAAATTTTAAAAAAGGTTACCTCTTGAAAAAAATATTAAAATATTTTTTGAAAACAAGAGAATTTTGCCTGTTCTCGTTTAGCCAAAACAATGGAACTGTTGCTCACCAAATTTCTTTGCTTCTGTACTTAACCATTTCCTGACTGCTTATCTTTTCTTACAGCTATTGGCCCTTCCTGTCTTTTCAGATACCAGAGGAAAGAATGATGTCAAGAGACCCTAAGACTTTTAAGTGCATTCTTCTGCTTTTTAACAGGGACATTTGACAACAGATCCTATTTATTGGATGTGCAAGAAGGTATTACCCAGTGCTTGATGTTCAGTTACCCAGATGGGCAGCATGCTTTGGTATCTAATGGGACTTGGAGTTTTGGTGGAGGAGATGGATATATAAATAGATAATTACCATACAGTGTGACAAGTTCTGGAAAGGGGAATTTCAGGGAGCATTTGGAGCACATAGAAGTGATACCTAGTATAGACTGAGTGGGGTCAGAGTGGCTTTCTAGAGGAAGCGATGTGAACTCTGCTGGCTTCCTTTCCTTACTAAATGCTCTTAAAAGCCTTTCATACATTTAATTTCATAATAAATATGTCTAGTAATGATTAAATTTATTTATTCAGTCAAGTATTTATTGAGCACTGAGGATGTATTTAGGATGTACTAAATAGATCAAATCTTGGCCCCTGGGGAGCTTATATTTTGTTGGGGTGATATTGGCAAAATATATGTATTTAGAGACAATATGCTACTGGAGATCAGTGGAGAAATAACTCCAGAAAGAATGAAGAGATGGAGCCAAAGCAAAAACAACACCCAGTTGTGGATGGGACTGAGGATAGAAGCAAGGTCCAATGCTGTGAAGAGCAATATTGCATAGGAACCTGGAACGTTAGGTCCATGAATCAAGGCAAATTGGAAGTGGTCAAACAGGAGATGGCAAGAGTGAATGTC